GGGGGGGGGGGGGGGGTGGAGGTTTAAAACTGGAAGATTTGGATCTGCGACTGTTCAGATTAAGTTTTTAACTCAATGAACCTAGCAAATAACCCCCAAGAGCAAACAGAACAAAACCAAAGTAACCAAGGAACCTGTTTTAACAAGAACAAGTAAAATTGTTCTTAACTTTTGGCAGAAATCTCGCCTCACTGTTATTAAATTGTTCTTGTAAGTATAGACTACGAGAGGGGTTTTTTGTTTGGACTTCCTTTCGAAAAGTCTAGAAAGATAACTTCAATTCGTATTAATTCTGTTTTGCTAAAGTTGTTATTTGTCCAATGGTATGATTTGGAACTTTTTTTTATTTGCAGTGATACAAATATCAGTTGTGCATCAGGTAAATGCTAGGGACAAATACACAAAGTTTTACCGTTTTTTTCATCTGTTCGCTCGGTGTGTTTCCCAACAAAAACGTGCAATGCATTTGTAGCCGATGAGCCATGAATTCATGAATTTTGCTTTGTCAATAAAAAAATACATTTGCTTCTTATGTGGTTCCTAATTTTTGGGCAAATTTTAACCTCGTTGCTCTTATAAATATTGTTCCTAAAAAGGCTTGCTTCCATATGTTCGTCTGAAATAATGTTCAGACGATGGGAACGATCATATGGAAACACTACCCGGTCACCGATGACAAACGACCCGGCGGGACGACTAACCTCGATCTATCCGGGCGATCGGGAAGATCGTGTAAATTTTGAAGCGATCATACATATGGAAACGCTCTCAGACGACTGACACGAACGGGACGATCGAAGGCTATCCCTGAATCGGAGGTGGAAGCGGAATCATGAGTCATTAAAGTTACAAACATATAAGAATCATAAAGCTTTATTCTTTTAAAAACTTGGGAATCATGAATCTTTGTACCTCGGTTCGGGAATCAAGAATAATTGTAACGAGACTCTGAGAAAAGCTCAACAAAATACACGTGTGAATTAATTGCGTTCGATCCAGGTGATGCATGATCTGGCGTTTCCGAGATTCTCCCCAAGTTTCAGCATGCCCCCAGATCCCCCTATATAATTCGTGCATTCTGGACTGACAGTCCGCTTGTTCAGTCTCCTATAACCTGGTGTTTGATGTTCAGTTACAGAAAAAGTAAATCCATACCTAGACAAAACGGATGATGATACGGAGTCTGGATGAAAAAGAAGTTTGAACACCAAAGAAACTATACAAAACGAGGTCTTCGTGAATCATGAATCTGGAATAAAATTATTGTGGGGATCTTGAATCATTGAGATCTTGAATATCAAGATTCAAATAATTGCGCTTCTACCCCCGACCCTGAAATCTTTACTAATATATATATTTAGCCACAGCTAAAAGCGAAGCTCCCATTGATAAATTTATAACTTAAATCAAACAATAATTTTGTATTCCACAAATCAGTTAACGTAAGGGCACATTCATGTGACTTTTGAGGGAAAAGCTAAGTGATTTTGGAGTGAAACAAATTTTGTATCGAGTTGATATAGCCTTATATGTACACCCAAAAAATAGTCTTCGGTCACAATTAAGAGCAATGATGGCTCTTGATCACAGTAGATAAGGCGTGGAAAACAAATTCTTGGAAAACAAATCAGACCGAATTTTTGGCGTTCGACAAGTTTACAAATTCTTGCCAATAACTCTGGGTGCGTGCAAACCAATCTTTTATTTTTTTTTTATACACCACATCTTGAGGAGAAAGAGTACTATGAGGCGCTGTTTTTATCATACAGACCTCGTACAAAATGCAGTATTTCACAATTTTTCAAGACAAATTGCATTCATTCAATATTCAGGGCCAACGAGGCACGCGTGGACTTTTAATTAGCGAAACCGTTCAAAAAATTTCCAAAATCACCTATACGGCCAGCCGGTTCTAACTTTTGACAAGCGCCAAATTTGCGAAGAAATTTTAAAAGAGTTACGCTTCAACGTGATAAAGAATTTATTGAGTCTATTTTTTATTAACGGTTTTATAACGATGTGTAATCTTAAAAAGCGTTTGATACGCTTGGCATTTTGAGTACTCCTGCGAGCGATGTTTATGAACGCCTGAAAACAAACGGCAAAGCGATGAAAATTACACTTTTGAGACTACCAAAAATCAATAAAGAAAAATAATCCGGTAGAACATTTACAGAGACAACAATTTTCATTCACGAAAACAAATGAGTATTTAAGTGTGTCTAAGAATCCTCAAGTCTTTACTAGTAAGCTTAAAGTTTATGTTTTGAGCCGCCGGTTTCCCGGTGTTGGCTGTTTTCAAAGATGAACTCACGAAAAGAAAATCGTTCAAAGCTTTCTTTCTACAGACAAAATTATAACTAAATAGTCTTCGGAAAGTTTTTTCTTTCTATTTAAGGTGAATTAATATCGACTAAAGGCTCTTTAAAGTTCTGTAAGCTTAAGCTTATATCAAACCTCATACGAGGTCAGATCAGTGTCTCAGTCAAATCTTAATACAAACGTGCATAAACTAGCTTCATAAACTGCGCAGCTAGACTTCATGAAATTAGATATAAATACAATAATTACTCAGGCTTACCATATTTCGAGATGCAGCTCCTGAAAGCTATCAAGTAAGGCAAGGATCGCTTGAGCCTTTATGATTCTCGTACGCATCCAGCAAGGTGAAAAGCAAAAACGATGCCATCCGAAATCGGATTATCGGCTTTGACAAGCGACGCATTTTTCAACCAAAAACCCAATAAACAAACCAGCCATGAATAAGAGAACACTCTTGATAGCAGCTGTATTTCATTTTGTACATCCAGTGGAAAAAGACAGTTAAAAACATCGATCACAAGTTGACTCAAAACTCTGTCAGCTTCAGCTGTCAAAGTAAACAACTTTCAAGATGCTGCATAAATTTTACGCATGAACTCACCTGTCATATTTTAACCAATCAGAGCATAGAAATTGGACGTGGAGCGTGACCAACACGTGACCATG